CTCCTTCTCTGGGTCTAGAGTCCCCAGCTGTTCCCTTTCTCCATGTCGTCATCTCTGCCTCCCATCTCTGCCTCCCATCTCTGGCGTCCCTGCTTCTCTGAGTAGGGTCCTGCTCTCTACTCTTCTTCCTTGATGGTCCCAGGGACCTCCGCTCCTAGACTGTAAAGTCAATCACTCCCCTCCTTTTGCTACAAAACGGCTCCCTTTACATTTCCAACCCTCACAATCAGTCCTGATAACAATTATTCACTATTGTATCTGCATCTCCTTTCATCAGCCCCACCCAGACAGATTGGATACTACTCAGTGGAGATTCTACCTTCCTCCACACCCTCTCGATCTAGGCTCCCTCTTGAAAGCTTGTAAGCCCGTCACTTCTTGCCTTTAGGCACCCCCCCCCCCAATTTTGGGTAGCCAATGTCCAAGGTGCCCATCCCTGTCTACTCTGTGTATGGAGGGGGGTGGGAGGGGTGGGAATGATCCTCATTGTAAAGATTTGTTCCCTCTTTTGAACTACTGCATCCATAGGCATAGGTCAAGTTCATCAAATTATATCAGATTACTCTTTTTTTTTTTTTTTCCTCTTCTTTTTTCTAGTTGAGCTCTGATCATCTAGTCATTGAAGCCAGGTCAAGTGGGTATTATCCGCAAGTGTGGGTGTTCTTGTGCATATGCCCTCTCTTTTTATCAGCTGGATGCTTCACTCTCCACTCTAGTCCTCTGTGGCTGTGTCGCTGATTCTAGACCCAAGAGTCCCCAGGTCTTGCCACACTGCTGGCCAACCAGATCTCCATCCGGGCTCACAGGAGTCTAGTTAACGTTATAGGGCTTAGCTCACAGCTTCATTGCTGTTTTTCCCTCACTTCCCCTTATCAAGGACAAATGTGGTTGCCAATCAGAGCGTGTATTCCCATTGAGTCTTAGTCTTGGGAGGGGGTTTGCCCTGAGGGGATCCGACCACTTGCCTTGATGTCTCCTGGGTGAGCAACTTGCTTGTTCTTGTAATCAGTCAGTTTGCCTATGTTGTTTTGTATTTTTCCTGTCAATCTTTCTTTCAAGACATATCTTCTTTTCTTCTAGCTGCTCCAGGCTGGCCTGCTTGTCTTTTCAAGTGGAAATTTCCCACCTTAGAAGATTCTGGATGGGGTTCAGGATTCCACCTATGGTCTTATGTAGTGCAGAGGCTCCACAGGAAGCCTCCTTCACTGGGCACATTATAGCCCCATTTTAGGTATTCCAATCAGTTATAGATAGAAGACGGACTTAACAAGCTTTCAATGGTGATATTTCTGGCTATTCTTGTCTCTCCCCCTCAAGTGTCCCCTGGCCTTGTTTTGTCTGATGATGAGTTTTCCCACAGAGATGTAGTCAGTTTGATTTCTGTGTATTTCATCTGTTGAGGTCCATTTGTTTAGTCCCCTTTTATGTTTAAAAATATATTTGCAAAGAATAAGTCATTGGTCTTGCAAAATTCTGATGTGCAATCTCCAGCATCACTTCACCACGGCCACATTTTCCAACTACTGATCCTTTTGTTTCTAACCTTTCCATTTTAATCACCAGTAAGTACCACTGCATCTTGATTTGATCAATTTCAGACTGAAAAAGTTGGTAGAGTTCTTTAATTTTATCATCACTGGCTTTAATGGTTGGTGCATAAATTTGAATAATAGTGGTGGTATTACTAGGTCTTCATTATAGATGTGTGTGTATTATCTTAACACAGATAGCTTTGTACTTTAAGATTCTGAAATGTTCTTTTTGATGATGAATGTGATGCCATTCCTTTTTTTGAATTTGTCATTCCTGGTATAGTAAACCATATGACTGTTTGATTAAAAATGGCCAATACTAGTCCATTAGAGCTAGGACATTGATCTTTTTGTATTCCATTTTATTTTTGAGAACTTAAAATTTTTATAGTTTTTCATACTTCCTACATTCCGTGTTCTGATTACTAATGGATGTTTGCAGCTGTTTTCCTCATTTAGAGTTGTGCCCCATCAGTAAATGAAGGTCCCTAAAGATTTATGTCATTATAGTCAACTGTACTTTGTGGAGACAACTCTTCCCTAGTAGTTTTTACTGCCTCCCAACCTGAAGGGCTCATCTTCCACACCATATCTGATTGTGTTTGCTGCTGCTCATAAGGTTTTCAGTGGTTAAACATTCAGAAGCAATCCTCCTCTATTTCTTTCTAGTCTTTCTTAGTCTGGAAGCACTGCTCAAACCTGTCCACCAATCCTACTGGTATTTGAAATACTGGTGCCATACATAGCTCCCAGCATCAAAAGCAACACACAAGCCACCATAGTACTTTTCTAATAGCCACATTAAAAAAGTAAAAAGAATCACTTGAAAGTAATTTAGATAATATATTTTATTTAACCCAATGTATTCAAAGTGTTAGCATTTCAACATGTATAAAAATTATTCAGGTAGTTTACATTTTAAAAAGTAAATATTTAAAATCCAGTGTGCTTTACACAGATTGCATCTCACTATTGACTAGCCAAATTGTAAGTGCTCAGTTAAGTGCCGTCGAGTCGATTCCAACTCATAGCAACTCATAGCACAATAGAACAAAACACTGTCTGGTCCCATGCCATCCTCACAATTGTTGTTAAGCTTGAGCCCATTGCTGCTGCCACTGTGCCAATCCATCTCATTGGGGATCTGCCTCTTTTTCACAGACCCTACAGTTTATCCAGCATGATATCCTCCCCCAGGGACTGGTCCCTCTTGACAATATGTCTGAAGTATGAGAGATGAAGTCTTGCCTTCCTGGCTTCAAGGAGCATTCTGGCTGTACTTCATCAAGCACAGATTCATTTGTTCTTCTGGCAGTCCATGATACTTTTACTATTCTTCTACAGCATTATAACTCAAATGCATCACTTCTTCTATGGTCTTTCTTATTCATTGTCCAACTTTCACATGTATATGAATGAAGTTATGAAAAATACCATGACTTGCATGTAGCACCTTAGTCCTTAAGCTGACATCTTTGCTCTTGAACACTTAACTAAGTCTTGTGCAACAGATATATCTAATGCAGTATGTTGTTTGATTTCTTGATGGCTGCTTCCGTGTATGTTGATGGTAGATCCAAGCAAAATGAAGTCTTTTGACAACTTCGATCTTTTCTCCATTTATCTTGATGATATTTATTGGTCCAGTGGTGAGGATTGTAGCTTTTTTGTTTTTTTTTGGCATTCACATGCAACCCATACTGAATTATGGTCTTTGATCTTCATCAGTAAGTATTTTAAGTCCTTTTAGTGTTGAGTAAGCAAGCAAGCTTGTATCATCTGCATTTGCAGGTTTTTAATGATTATTCCTCTAATCCTGATTCCACGTTCTTCTTCATATAATTCAGCTTCTTGAATTATTTGCTCAGTATTCAGATTGAATGAGTTTGGTGAAAGAATACAACCCTGTTGCACATCTCTCTTGATTTTAAACCATTCAGTGTCTCCTTGTTCTGTTTGAACAGCTGCCTCTTGGTCTGTGTACAAGTTCCTCATGAGCACAGTTAAGTGTGGCCTTGTGATTCATCTTCCTTTTTATAAATAATTTCTATTTCTGTACTCGATTTTATGTAATTACCTATCCCATGGTGGTTGGTGGTTATGTGTCATGGAGTTTGTTCCGACTCATAGCAACCCTGTATATCGTTTCCAAGGCTATTAATTTTTACGGGAGCAGAAAGCCTCATCTTTCACTGGTAGAACTGCTGGGAGTTTCAAATTGCTGATTATGAAATTAGCAGCCTGACTTGTAACCACTACGCTTCCAGAGCTCCTACCTATCCCATGTGACCAGTTAATTCAGTCATTCTTTTTTCTGTAGAAATATATTAAGATTTGTTTCTCTTCTCTACTAGTTGTTCGATCTTTAGAACATTAAGTTATTAATGTATTTTGAATAAAGCCATAAATTTAATTGGTAAATTCTCATAAATTTATAGTTAACCTATGTTTTAAAAATGAAGCCTACATTTTAAAATCCATTAAGCTCTACTTTTTCCACACTCAGCTTGTGGTGAATGGCGAACCTCAAATTTCTTTCCTCTGGCTTTTTTAAAAAAGATGATAAAGTATGAAAAATGACTAGAACTTGGGAAAGATATAAACTCACTTTATATTTGATTATACACATAATCTAATTTTTCCGAATTAGAAATTAAATTCAGAATAGAAAATGAATAGATGCCACTAAAAGGGAATCAGAGCTTCCTGGAGAAGCAACTGATCCCGGGTCTGGGATAAAAAATGTGCAAAATGAGCTTGGATGGAAAATCTTGCCATACTAGGAATAAGGCAGCATGTTGAAAATAAAAGGTTATGTCACAAGGCTTCAGGAGCCAAATGAGTAATTTCCAGTGGTCAGTGAAGTGAAAACAATGAGCATTCATATAGTTATGTTGTTAAGTGCCTTTGAGTCAATTCCAACTTATAGCAACCCTGTATAGGGTTTCCAAGGCTAAATCTAAAGGAGCAGGAAGTCTCATTTTTCTTCTGAGGGACGGCCGGTAGATTTGAGCTGCTGACTTTTTGGTCAACAGCCCAACTCATAACCCACTATGCTACCAGGGCCCCTTGGGTTGGGGGTATTGTTGTGTAGTGTTGTCGATTTGGTTCCAACCCCATATAGAGTTTCCAAGGAGCAACTGCAGATGAAATAAAATTGGACTTGTATCCATAAATGTTGCAGCTGGATGATGGGTACATAGGGTTCATATACTTTGTCATTACTTTTGTTTGATTTTTTTTTTTTTTTCTTTTTAAATAATAAATTATTTTTCAGAAGAGCAACTTTTGGAAACTTCCTTGGCATCAGTACTACAATTTCTTTTTTTGGTGTTTCATTTTATAATGATCTCTGTGGAGATATTTATCCTTGCATCAAACTTGCTATGTAAAATAAGACCATTTCTTCATGTTCTGTTAAACAGCTTGGCACCACCATCTGTTCATTTTGTTTTTCTGTTTTTTCAGCTCTCTCTTTCCAGATGTAGTGAACTGTATGCAGACTGATAACCTGGAACTAAAGAAACTTGTGTACCTCTACTTGATGAACTATGCCAAGAGTCAGCCGGACATGGCCATCATGGCTGTCAACAGCTTTGTGAAGGTAATTTCCCAAGACCTCAACAGAGTGCCTTCTACCTCAGATAGGTTTTCAGAAGTGTCATTTGATGTAGTTAGTATCTGCATTAGAAATACCCTTCATTCTAAAGGAGGGCATCTAAGGAAATATTGGCAATGATCAAATATGTTCTTGTTTTAAGCATTCTATAGGCCAGTGTGTAATGAAAGAAATTTAAACCATATGGTGAGCCTTGTGTTATCTGGACTTGGTGCATCTTTGCCAGTTAGGTAGGAGACAGACAGTTGAAGCCTTACTGTTTTGCCTTCCAAAGCTGGCAGAGGTTGGCCATGTCACTGTGGTATCAGTAACCAGGGACTTTATATGCTTTATCATTTAAAGCTATGAACAAAGATCTCAACTCTTGTAGAATTACCTTACTCTTTGCCAAAACAGTTTTTCGCTTTTAAGAAGTATTTTGTAATTTTCCTGTAAGGATAATATAGAGGAGTAGTCCTCACTAAAACTTCCTGATGCTGATCTGTCTTCTCACAAAAAATAATTTACCTGTATAGAAATTAGTTATAGTCAGAAGTAGGGAAAACTGCAGGACCTACTATTTCAATTCATTTAATAGATTTTATAGTATTTGATTAAAATTTTTTTATTATGAAAAATTTAAATATATCCAAGTAGAAAGAACAGTATAATAAATTTTTAAATAGCCATTTACAGTTTTAGCAGTTACTGACAAATGACCACTGTAATTTAATTACACTCTCCATACATACTTTATTGACCCTGCCCCCACTGTGTAATTTTAAAATAAATTCCAAACATCATATCTTTTCATCTGTCAATTCGCCAGAAAAGATCTATCATTGGAGTCCTGGTGTGGCATTGCGAGCTAATGTGCTGGACTGTAAGGTCGGTTTGAACTACAAGGTTGATGGTTCAATTCACCATCCACTTTTTGGAAACCGTATAAGGGTCACTATGAGTTGGAACCAACTTGACGGCACTTAGCAACAACAACACTGCTCTGTCATATGTGAAGAAGAACATGGCATCAGGATTGGAGGAAGGAAGGCTCTTTTAACAACCTGCGATATGCCAGTGATACAGTCTTGCTTGCTAAAAGCGAAGAGGACTTAAGACACTTGAAGATGAAGATCAAAGATCACAGACTATGGGTTGCACCTCAATGTAAAGAAAGCAAAATCCTCACCAATGGACTAGTAAATAACATCAAGATAAATGGAGAAAAGATTGAAGGTGTAAGACTTCTATTTGCTTGGATCCACCATCAACACTCATGGAAGCAGCAAGTCAAGTCTGCTGTACAAGACCTCTTTAAAATGTTAAAGAGCAGAGGTGTCAGTTTGAGGACTAAGGTGCACCTGACTTAAACCATAGCATTTTCAATAGCCTCAATGTGTGTGAAAGTTTGACAGTGAAGACTGTCGAAGAATTGATGCATTTGAGTTATGGTGTTGGAGGAGTATATTGAAGGTACCACAGACTGCCAAAAGAACAAACCAATCTGTGTTGGAAGAAGTACAGCCAGAATACTCCTTAGAAACCACCATGGCCAGACATCATCTCTCATACTTTGGACATATTATCAGGAGGGACCAGTCCCTAAAGAAGGCCATCATGCTTGGTAAAGTGGAGGGTCACTGAAAAAGAGGAAGACTCCCAACGAGATGGATTGGCAGCAATGGATTCAAAGGTAGTAACAGTTGTGAGGTTGGCTCAGGACCTGGCAGTGTTTCCTTCTGTTGTGCTTAAGGTTACTATGAATCGGTATTGACTCAGCAGCACCTAACAACAACACACTGTCATTGTCACATCTTAAAAACCTGGCAATAGTTCTTTAATGTTATTAAATATTCAGATTTTTTCTTTTATCAGATTTAATGAACATACTAGGGTTGTTTCCATTAATTTTTTTTAACCTACTGTTTTGTTTTTTCTCTTGCTTGGAACTTAGTCTACATGAATTTTAAAGAGCCCAAAAAAACAGCATTTTAAAAATTACTTTTATTGAATTGTTTTGAAACATAACAATATGCTTTCTTATTGTGGAATTTTTGTTCTTTTCCTATGTTTAGCTACATTAGACAGAACATAAAATTTCATCTCTTTGTCTCATGGTTCATAAGTAGAATAAATCATTGGAAAGATTTAGTTTATTGTGTTTGAAACTAAGAGTTGTACATAGGTTTATAATGTTAAAACATTTAAAAAAAATTTATGTAGGGCAATTTAATGAGTGTTTCAGCTCTGTAAGTATTCTCATGTAGAAAACAGTGGGTAGTAAGGGAGAATGCACAAGAATAGGGAGCTCACCTCACTCTAGGAATTTATGCCATTGGAGATCTGGTAGCATAATGGTTACCAATCAGCCTGCGAATCTCAAGGTCAGCAGGTTGAAATTGCCAGTGGTTCCATTGGAGAAAGAGGAGGCTTTCTGTTCCTGTAAAGATTTACAGCCTCGGAAACCCTATGCAGGATCGCTGTGAGTCAGAACCGACTCCATGGTACATAACCACCACCACCACCTACCAGCTCCTCTGTGCCTTGCCTTTCTTGGCCATTGATCCTGGAGATACAGCTTTTCTTTCTCTGTACTTGTTACTTAAGGACTAATTGTAGAATGAGATAGTCTTTCCAGTGTCTCATTTTTCATGCATCTGAATACAAGCATGTGGGGGACCAGATTTATACTTAAGAATAAAACGGGAGATTTGGCTTTTGATACAAAATGTAACGAAAGTATATAACTATTAAATTAAAGTATATAACTATTAAATTAATGAAACATTCTTTTATGGATTATCTAGACTGTACATCTGCAGTTATTTATGATTGTGTTCTGTAGGACTGTGAAGATCCCAATCCATTGATTCGAGCGTTGGCAGTGAGAACCATGGGCTGCATCCGGGTGGACAAGATTACAGAATATCTCTGTGAACCCCTCCGCAAGTGCTTAAAGGATGAAGACCCCTATGTTCGGAAAACAGCTGCTGTCTGTGTGGCAAAGCTCCATGACATCAATGCCCAAATGGTGGAAGATCAGGGATTCTTGGATTCTTTGCGAGATCTTATAGCGGATTCAAATCCAATGGTAAGCAGCTTCTACTTGTATAATGAGATCATCATTTAAAATGGAGATGTCTTAGCAAATTCAAATCCAAAGGGTAAGCAGCTTCTACTTTTATCACGAGAGGATCATTAAAATGAATCCTTTTAAAAGTATGTTTAAAGTAAACCATGTCTTTGTGACATTGATCAATGAGTAGCTCTTTACGCATGATTTCTGTTTGTCCCACAGATTTTAATGTCATGCCCTAGGTTTTTCTGAGGTGAGAACCAAAATCCATGATTTTCAAAACAAACTTTTGTATTGTACCTATCCTATATTTGCTCAGGAACATGTTCTTTTATCATTTTCTTTAGGAGATCAGGTTGGTTGGTTACTTTTTAAAAAGATTATTTATTCAGATGATTATGGTATTGTCTGGTGATGTGGGAGTAAAAACTGAATTGATGTTTATTGCATAGTTATTATAATGCATTTTCCTACAAGAGAATTCTAGGACAAGATTTCTTCTAGTCAACTTGATCATATTCTAAATGTTTGGCTGCCAGAATGCAGCACTCTACAGTTTTGGAATCATGTATCTCTTTTACTGGGCATGTTAAACTTCAAGTATTATCAGGAGAAAGGAAGTAAGTATCAAGTGGCACATAAATTCTACTAGTGGTGGTGGTGGTTATGTGTGGTGGTACTCGGTTCCGACTCATAGCAACCCTGTACAGGGTGTTCCGAGGCTGGAAATTTTTACAGGAGCAGAAAGCCTCATCTTTCTCTCCTGGAACAGCTGGTAGTTTTGAACTGCTGACCTTGCGGTTCGCAGCCTGATTTGTAACCACTATGCTACCAGAGTGCCTTAAACTCTACTAGTAACTGTAGCTCATTTGAATTACGTTTGTCAGTAAGGATCATTACCAAGAAGGTGGTAAAACAGAATTACTTTCTTTAGTTTAAAGGCCTTCTGTTTTAATGCAGTGTTTGCTTGGAAGTGAGTAACACAAGGAGTTAGACGATGGGTAACCTTGAAATATTATATTTGTTGGACTTTTTTAAATGGACAGGTTAGATTTGCCTTGAAATAGACATTGTCACTTTCAAATTACATGCTCAGATCTTTGCCTTGATATTTCTTATTGGTGTATCTTATTCCTTGGGTATCTCTGGTTCATATTTATCGTTTTTATCCTTCAGGTTTAGTATTTCAGGTCAAAGGATGAAGTCAGGCATATATTTTGAGAAGTATTTATGGTGCTGACTATACCATAAGGAATCTTTAAGTCATCTCCAAGGCAAGTAGAGAGGTGTGCGTGCTCTTGCTCTTGATGGAATTGCCACCAATATTGGAAGATTCAAGCCTTTTGTCTCTGCAGCTATGTTGTATTTTTTTAAATTCCATTAAAGAATTAACTTTATAAGGCAATATCTGTGTTATAACCAGTTGTTGATGTTGTTGTGGGCCATCGAGTCGGTTCCATCTCATAGCATCCTTGTATAAGGTTTCTGAGGCTGTAAAGTTTTGTGGGAGCAGAAAGCCTTATCTTTCTCTCACAGAGCAGCTGGTGGGCTCAAACCTTGGACCTTGTGGCTTGCAGTCCAGTGCTTATCTTACTGAGCCACCACACTCCCTATAAACTGTTGTTCTTATGTGCTGTTGTGTCGGTTCTGTCTTATAGCAACTCTGCATAGGGTTTTTGAGGAGCAGCTGGTGGATTTGAACCGCCAGCCTTGTGGTTCAAACCAGTCTTTGTAGTCTGGTGCTTATCCTAGGGTGCCATGCCAGGACCCCCTAGACTGTGTAGCTGGTACAAATTGTGCTTCTGGTATTTGTTTGGAGTCACTCTTTAAGCAATTGTCTTGTAAATGCTCTACCTGAAAACAAGTGATGAGATGCAAAGTATTTAGGTTTCAAGTACTAATGAGATGAGCAGAATATTGTATATCTTGTAGAAACTTACTGAATATTCAGTGAGGCTAAGAATGTGGCAACTCCAGTGTAGGGGGAAAAGCCTAAACTAATATAAGCCTAATGTAAAGTCTTCAGAGCAGAATTTATATAATTAGATGATCAGCAATAGGGACTAACTGGGAGTTTAGTTGTAAAGTTATTTTTTTATTTTTCTGTTTTTGTGCTGTATCCTGGTTTACAAAAAAAAACAAAAAAAAACCACCAGGATAGAATACAAAAAAAGAAAAAGAAAAAAATACCTTTACAACTAAACTCCCAGTTAGTCCCTATTGCTGATCATCTAATTATATAAATTCTGCTCTGAAGACTTTACATTAGGTTTATATTAGTTTAGGCTTTTCCCCCTACACTGGAGTTGATACTGGTGTTGATACTGAAGGAGGAAGTCCAAGGTGCCTTTAAGGAATTGGCAAAGAACAAGGCACCAGGAATTGATGGAATAAAAATTGAAATCTTTCAAGAAAGTGAGGCGGCACAGGAGGCACTCACTCATCTCTGCCAAGAAATTTGAAAGACAGCTATCTGGCTGACTGATTGGAAGAGATCCATATTTGTGCCCATTCCAAAGAGAAGCGACCCAATGGAATATGGAAATCATCGGGCAATATCTTTGATATCTCATGCGAGTAAAGTTTTGCTAAAGGTAATATAGAAACGGCTATAATCATACATTGACAGAGAACTTCCAGAGGTTCAAGCTGGATTCAGAAGAGGCCATGAAACGAGGGATATCATTGCTGATGTCCGATAGATCTTGGCTGAAAGCAGAGAATATCAGAAAGATGTTTACCTGTGCTTGATTGACTATGCAAAGGCTTTTGATTGTGTGGATCATGACAAGCTATGGACAACATTGCGAAGTATGAGTATTCCGGAACACTTAATTGTGCTCATGAAGAATCTGTACCTGGACCAAGAGGCAGTTGTTTGAATAGAACAAGGGAACACTGAATGTTTTCAAGTTAAAAAGGTGTGCGACAGGGTTGTATTCTTTCACCATACTTATTCAACGTGTATGCTGAACAAATAATCTGAGAACAAATAATCTGAGAAGCTGGGTTCTATGAAGAAAAACGTGGCATCAGGATTGGAGGAAGACTCATTAACAACCTGCCATATGCAGATGATACAACCTTGCTGAAAGTGAAGAGGACTTAAAACATTTACTGATGATGATCAAAGAGCACAGCCTTTGGTATGGATAAAACCCAAAGGTAAGAAAAAAAAAAAACCCAACAACGGACCAATAAACAACATTCTTATCAACGGAGAAAAGATTGAAGTTGTCAAGAACTTGTTTCTTCTTGGATCAACTATCAACACTCATGGAAGCAGCAGTCAAGAAATCAAATGACGTATTGCATTAGGCAAATCTGCTGCATAAGTCCTTTTCAAAATGAAGAGCAAAGATGTCAGCTTGAGGACTAAGGTGTGCCTGACCCAAGCCATGGTATTTTCGGTAATGTCATATGCATGCGAAAGTTGGACAGTGAATAAGGAAGACCATAGAAAAATTGATGCTTTTGAGTTATTGTGTTGGAGGAGAGTATTGAAAGTACCATGGGCTGCTGAAAGAACCAATAGATCCGTTTTGGAAGAAGTGCAGCCAGAGTGCTCCTTGGAAGCCAAGATGGCCAAACTTCGTCTCTCATACTTCAGAAATATTGTCAGGAGGGACCAATCGCTGGAGAAGGACATCATGTTTGGTAAGGTGGAGGGTCAGAGAAAAAAGAGGAAGACCCCCAGTGAGATGGATTGGCCAAATGGCAGCATCAATGCAACAGTCGTGAGGCTGGCCCAGGATTGGGCAGTGCTTCATTCTGCTGTGCATAAGGTTGCTATGAGTTGGTACCGACTCTTTGCTCTTCATCAGTAAATGTTTTAAGTCCTCTTCACTTTCATCAAGCAAGGTTGTATCATCTATCGCAGGTTGTTAATGAGACTTCCTCCAATATTGATGCCACGTTTTTCTTCTCATAACCCAGCTTCTCGGATTGTTTGCTCAGCATACAGGTTGAATAAGTATGGTGAAAGAATACAACCCTGTCACTTACCTTCTTAATTTTAAATCATTCAGTGTTCCCATGTTCTGTTCGAACAACTGCCTCTTGGTCCATATAAGATCACTATTAATCAGATTCAACTCCACAGAAACAGATTTGTTGACATTTTGTCAAAGAAAACATTCAGGCTGTAAATCTATATAGAATCAGATTTTTCCTACAGAACTTGTGGGTTCTAACTTGGTTAACAGCTCTGTTCTTAACCACTACAGCACCAGGACTCCTGATTATGAGATTATGGTGCTTATGAGGCCTTATTTTACTGCTCTAAAGGAATCATTTTATTTCATTTTTGTTGAGATACTGCTCCACATGGTGGCAGCACTGTGCCAGCAATTGTTAGAATCTCTTGCAAAAGAAATCAAAGATTTCAAAGGGCTTTGCTTAGTTTTCTTGTGTCACTTGAGAAGGGCCTTTTAGATGTACAAAAATTTGTAGACAATCTGCAGAAATAACTTGAAAATCTTCTAAGAGTAAAGTGTTAGTCAATATGCAACTACTCTGGGAGTTAGGTTGTCTGATTCCTGAGATGTGCCTTGCTGTAAGTAATAGAACTTATTATATTTTCATTTTCTGGTGTTTGAGGAGCGTAACACACACTTCTTTTCCTGCAGTTATTTTATCATTTATACTTTGGTTAAAGCTTACTTTTAGTGAAATTCCATCTAAGAGAAAAGATAAATACTTCGAAATGAAAAAAAATCTTAGTATTCCTAGTTTTATGTCTTTGTTCCATGTATCTTAACCACCTTGAGTCTGTAAAATGAGAGTTAATATCTTAGAATTGTATTGAATTTCAGTTGAACTATTGTGTGAAAAATGCCTCTCAAAGGCCTTGGCTTATGGGAACTCAGAAGATGATGACTGTTACTGTAAAATTATGACGTACACATGAGGCAAACATTAATAATTATTTTTTTGTTCATTTAAATTTTCTGATTCCTTTGATGATGTTGTTAATTGCCGTGGAGTCAGTTCTGACTCATACTGTGTAGGGTTGG